TTCTGTAAAGTGAAAATATTATGTCCTTGGCTGGAGTGGGGGTTGTATATTTTGGCTTAAAGACTAATGTAAGAGATGCTAGGGTCATTCTGAAGTGAACGGAACTGGTTAATGATCCATTGTGTTCAGAAGAACATAATAGGAAGAAGCCATGAGAACAAGGGAAAGGGAAACAGATGGTATGCTATGGGTGTGGTGTAGGGAATTACATAGTTGGATAGATTGTGAACCCAGGAAAGGGGCAGACACTGTATATAAATGGCAGCCTTCCTGGGGAAAAATGTCTTCTGCTATGAGCAGAATTCCCTTTTGCAAAAGCTTAATAATAAAGCTCTTGTTTACTGTCTCCAGTTGTGTTTTGTGATTATTATCACAATTTTGGTACAGCTTGTGAGTGTCCACAAGGTGGCACCAATTCCTCCAGTGTATATACTAATTTATGGTTGGAGGGTTACTAGTTTAAACAAAACCACTGAGTATTGTGTTACTTAATACTATTTTTATTTATATATTTATTGTAATAAATTTGCATATTAAATTCATATATAGAGTATATTTGTACTGTATTCCAATTTCATTAACATTTACTTAAATGTAGTATTTTAGTAGTGTTATAAAATAGATTGGGGTGAAGTACAAGGACAATGCAGAAAGATTGAGAAGCACCTTAAAAAATCCCTCTTGTTGACCTCAATAGCAGATCAGTTTCAATTATGAAGGTGATCACTGAGTCAAGCCCTATAATATTTAAGACTTTGAAATTAAACCACAATCTTAATTTTCTATCTCCAAACTTACATTTTTATCAGGCTCAAAGCTGGGCTGATCAGGGGCCAATTCCCCAATCAAAAGCGATGCCATGTGCTTCCTTACTAGAGTCTTGTCAAGGTGAAAGGCTGTAAAAGGATCCTAAAAACAAAACATAAAGACAAAAGATAATGAAATACTATAAGAATCATCTTAAAGGCAATCTGGAAGAAACATATTTAGGCTGATAGATAATATTTTATTCTTATCTTTCTTCGGTCCAATTCAAAGCATGACAGACATACAGTAATTCCCAGGAGGTGTTTTGACCCAAGATACTGGGACATTTGCACTATTATTTAAGAAATTGGCTCTGAAGGGATATGATTAATTCTAAACTATAATTATTCAGAAAATAATTTTGGCTTCAAGCAAAGTCTGGAAAAACAGATGACAAAGAAACTGCAGTGTTTTGCAGAAAACATCAAAGACAGAAAAATGTATAAATCACATAATTTAATTGTTTAATTCTTTCTAAAATGTAGTATTTATAAATATTTTTTCTCAGCAATATAAACCAGTTTTACTGCTTTACTCTGCAGATAGAATTCCTGCTTTTCTGCTCTCATTTCAATTTATTTATAGGTGGAACACGCACAATTTGCTTAGTTCTGCATTAACTTTTAGTTAATTTTAAAGTTGAGGAAAAACTATACTTCTTTCTAAAGATATTTATAGTAAGTATAAACTGAAAGAAAGCAAAGTACAACTTTTAAAAATATAATATGTAGACCAAGTAAACAAAAGACATGGAAGAAGCTGCTTAAGGCTTTGAAAATAAAGGAGAAATATAAAAAAATCAAAATAATGATCCGGATAATGACTTTCCAGTGGATTTACAAAAGAGGTCTGCTAAAGACTTGAAGAAGCCTCTGTGATACAACAAGAAAGATGATATCTGAATGAATTAAAGACCAAGAGAGTTAGTTGTTTTCTTTGATCAGGATTAAAATAAGAAATGCTTTTTATAAATCTCTGGTAATTCTTTATGGGTTTTTTGCTAACACCAGAACTGAAAAGTTGATCATTTATTGTCATGCATATAGAAGAATGGGTTTGGGGAAGGATAAATATTTATTTGTAACTTTAGAGCAGGTGTTCTGACCCAAAGCTTGTTCCAAGGAAACAAATACAAAACAGAGGTAACAGAAAAACCTTTTAATGATTTGTTACGAAATCTGTTCCTTCACAGTTCAAAGGCTGTTTCAAATTAATTATCTCTGATAAGAAAGAGCCTTGCCAAGGTTGTGCAAGAACACTAGATAAAGTTACTAAGAAATATTTCAAACACAGAGTCTCCAAACACCAACCAAAATATTCTGAACGTCCACAAGGCTTGAGTGCAAAAACTTTTTTGCTTCCTGCAAAGAACTCCGGTTTCTCAGCTGGCTTTTATCTCCTCAAGGAGGGGCCATTACTTGCAGCCTTACTCCCGAGTCACCCGTGCTGCTGCTGCAGCTGCTGTTTCCTTCGAGCAGCCCTGCGTGCAGGCGCATTGGGCACAGGCTCCTCAGGAACCTCTTCATCACTGCTGCCAGCCTCCACAATCTCTGAAGGTAGCATTCCACTCCCTGATGGTCCTGGCCCCATCCCTGCATCACACACAGGCCCCTCATCAGAGTCCTCGTTCTCCGAGACCTCAGCCATCCACACCTGCTGCCGGCGAACCACAACAGCAGGTAATGAATTATCAAATTTATTTTTCTTGGCATGCTGAAGACTGGAAGTCACTTCTTTATATATTTCTTTTCTTTTTATTTATTCTACTTCTTTCCCTTTTCTTTTTCTTTTTTTTTTCCTTTTCATTTTTTACTGTCAATAAAGACTCAAAGGTGTCTAAAGGTGGAATCATGGCAACTGGACCAAACTTTGTTAATCTGAGACATTTTGTTGCTGTTACGAATGTAAGTCACCTAACAGTTGGGTTGGAAAATATATAAACCAGGATAGACATTTTAATGCTGTCTCTTTAAGAGAATGCTAAAATTGTAATTGGGTGTGGTTCCTCAAACGGCTATAAGATGGAACCAGAAACCTGGGTTGTCCTGTCCTGTTCTGGAGAGTGTTGCCATTCCTGCATTTCCCTATTGACTGTTGCTGATCATCATTAGTCTTGGATTAATGTGAGTCTATTACTGAACTGTTTTTGATACTGGACTTTCTTATTGGATTATCCCTGGACTGAAAACCAACTGCTTTAACTGTGAATGACTTGGACTATTTGTTGAACTTTGCTTAAATGTTTATTGGAAGTAAAAACCTACATTTTTACTATACAGTGTATCTGCGTGCTGGTTGTTTGTTTTTCTTCACCACTCTCACTACGTCTCCCTGTGTTGCACTCATTCTCTTAAAGGGGAATTACCTCAACACTGGTTATGGGCCCAGGCCATACCAGGCTCAGATAACTGAGAGTTAGTGTGAATACACAGTACCGTATACAGTAGCTGTTTGCTGTTTAATTGTGGGTTACTATCCTGGTAAAGATGGCACAAGACCAATCAACAAGTCTATCACTGATAACCCGGTTGGATGGAACAAACTATGTTTCCTGGTCTATGAAGTGCAGTCTACTTCTGCGTAGAGAAGGATTATGGACTGTAGTTCAAGATCCACCGGATGTAAATGCTTGGGATCCAGGTGATGAGGATGATGCCAAGAAGTTAGTTGACTTTAAACGAAACAATGAATGAGCTCTTTGTATAATTGGACTAACACTGAGTGACCAGCAGCTAGTCGATATTCGTGGAGAAGAGTCTGCTGGTAGGTGTTGGGAGAATTTGAAGAGGATTTATGTTCGTGACAGTGTAGGTGCACACATACATCTTACATATAAACTGTTTAGAGCACGTCTTCTGAAAGGTGGACATTTGTTAGGTCATTTGAACTTCATGAAAAGAACTTTTCAAGAGCTACATGAAAAGGAACTGATATTTTCAGAGCTGCATCAGGTTTACTTCATTCTTTCCTCATTGGATGGAAGTTATGATGATTACGTATCTTCACTGGAAGCCCTGACCCTAGATAAACTGACATTGACTGACATAACTGGAAGGTTGTTAGAAGAAGCAAGAAGACGACTGGATAGGGACCAACTGAGGAACTAACAACCACAAGAAGAGGATTTGTGTTCAACTGCCTATACTGTTAGGAAATGTTTTTCTTGTGGGGCTAGGGGACATATAGCTAGATTCTGTAAGAAGGGAAAACAACAGAATACTAGTAATCACCAGAAGGCTAAGAAGAATGTTAGTTTAGCTATGTCTAGCAATTCAACTGTAAACCATGTTTTGTGCGTTGTTGATAGTGGAGCATCACAGTGCATTACTAAAAATAGAGAGAGGTTTGTAACTATGTCCACAAGTAAGCAACATGTATCATTGGCAAATGGATGGAAGATGAAAGCGTCTGGTGAAGGTACTGCATATTGTTCTTGTATAAACAAGCATTTAACTATGTTATATGTACCTAACTTGAAATTTAATTTGTTATCAGTACAGGCTTTAGTTAATATTGGTTATATAGTAACCTTTAGAGGAGATAACTGTATAATAGAGAAAGAGGGTAAAAGTGTTGCTGGTACTTTAGAGAATGATTTATATGTGATACATGATGATCAGTTGAAGATGGATAACTCGGTTTGTAACAATGTTAAGCCACATGATGAATATATACATTTACTGCATAGACATCTGGGGCACATTAATTTCAAAATGCTCAAACAAACTGTTGAATTGTCAGAGGGAGTAAAATTAAAACCCTGTAGTAAGTACTTAAACTGTAATGCCTGTAGCCAGGAGAAAAGCAAGGTTATTCCGGCAAACAGACTGAATGGGTTTAAGACCAAAGAACCTTTAGAGGTTGTTTTTTCTGACATAATTGGTCCTAAGAAACCCAGTTTGGGAGGTGCCTGCTATGTTTTGAGTATAATGGACGATTACTCACGAGACGGTTTCTGCTATCTCATGAAAAACAAAACAGAAACATTCCAACATTTTTTTAACTGGCTAAGATTTGCTGAGAGAAAAATGAGGAGTAAAGTAATTATTTACTGATAACGGGACTGAATTTATTAACAAGAGATTCCAAACTATGTTAAAATTGGCTGGTGTCAAGCATAAATGTTCTGCACCTTACAGACCACAACATAACTCATTTGTAGAACAAAGAGGGCAAATATTACAAAACATGGCTTGCACTATGTTAACTGACTCAGGTTTGCCTGAAACACTGTGGGGTGAGGCCATAATGTGTAGCAACCATGTTTTAAACAATGTAGTGAACACAACAACTGGTGAATTGCCATTCACTTGTTGGCATGGCAGAAAATCAAATTTAAGTTACCTACACACATTGGGAGCTCCAACATGGGTGCATATTCCCTCACAAGTAAGAATGAAAGGGCAACATAGAGCTAAGAAGTTATTTTTTGTAGGTTACGAGGCCAACCATAGATCGTTGAGATTCTGGGATCCAGGCACAGCTCATGTTTATTGTAGCGCTAGTGCAAAATTTCTTGAACACGTTGGGTGGGATAAACTGGAACAGGAATCCAGCAATGATATTATTATTGACACCCAAATAGTCTCTAAAGATGAAATAAGTAAACCCAGAATAGCCATTAAAGAGGAAGCACAGGAGGAAGTCGAAGAACAGGCACAGGAGGAGATAGAAGAACAGGAGCAGGTGGAACAGGAGAGTCCACCAGTAAGCCCTGTATTACCGAGACGTTCAACCCATGTAACAAGAGTCTTTATGGCTTGAAGCAATCAGGATATGAGTGCAGCCAGTGTATAGTTAAGGAATTAACTTGATAGGTTTTGTAGCTGGCATGGCTGATCCATGTTTGTTCAAAAAGGAAAGTAATGGTGTAATGTCATTGTTGCTATTGTTTACTGATAACATAGCATTAATCACCAAAACTGAACAAGAAGCTACTAAAATAATATCACTGTTAGGGAAGAAATTTAAGATAAAACAGTTAGGAGAAATTAAACAATATCTTGGATTAAAGATAGATAGAACTAGGGGAGGATACAAAATCTCACAGGCAGATAAAATTAACCAATTACTAAAAAGTTTTAAAATGGAACTTTGTACAA